GCGGGTGGGGAGGCCTGGAAGAGGCCATCCATGAGGATCTCTTTGCTCAGGGGCTGAAAATCCTCCATAGATTTTGACAAGGAAGATTTTCAGCTCCCGAGCTTAGAGGCAGTGTGGTAAGGAATGATCCATGGGATGCCTCAGGTTGGGCAAGGCCTTGGGAGGTCCAATGCAGGTCACACACAAATATATCTCCACTCAGCAGGGACTGAAAATCCTGCTTAATGACCACAACCAGGAGTTCCGTCAGATGGGAAGCAACGTGGCTTTTTGCTTAACAACCACGTCACTCAACAACCTACATTCCAGTCCCAGCTGTGGCTGTAAATTGAGGACTACTTGTGTCTCACCACTATGGTATATAAAATCTGTCACTTTGTAAGGTTTCTTCCACTCCCTCACCTATTTTTAAATCAGGTGACCTCTTCAGTACCAAAAGTGTTTTTTTGGGAAATTCTAGGAGGTAGAGACATGCACTCCCTCTAGACACTAGCCAGTCTTTGCCACAGCAATTCCTCTTCCATTGTCTGATGCTCCTGAGATCCTTTCATAATTGCATTCTTTCCCCTCCATCCCCCCCATCAATTCTCTAATCAATTTCTCTCTAGGTTTTTAATGAGGTAGAGGCAAGCAAAGCAGAGGTTAATTTGGAAAAGTAGAGGGATATATTTCTGTTATCCCATGCCACAAAAATTAGTTACTTGCAATTTGGTATAGTGGTTAGACATCAGGCTAGAAACCAGGAGACCATGAGTTCTAATCTTGCCTTCCATACAAAGATGTTGACTCTGGATTAGTCACTTTCTGTCAGCGCTAGAAAGAAGGCAATGGCAAAACACCTCCAAAAATCTTATCAAGAAAACTGCAGGGGATAGTCTCTGGGCAGTCACCAGGAGTAATATATTTATTACATATTCACACAGTAATTTATTAAATTTATGTCACCCAACTTCCAGCAGATAATTCATAGCTATGTCTGCCTCCCTCCCCTCTAGGGTTATTTCCGCTTTGTTGTCTTTCCATGTATTTCTTTATTTCACATATTTTTAACTTGGGAGATAGAGTGACTCAGCCAATTCATGAGGCAGGCCCCTTTGGTAAGAGACATGCTGGGGGAAAGGAGTAAAGATGGAGCAGAGGGTAGGGAAATCAATCACCTTCCCATTAACAAGTAGTGCGCTCACACTCTAAGTAAAATCAATCAGCAATAATTCATAACAAATGCAATAGTGGGATAGGGATTCGCAATAAGGACAGCACATTTTATGCCAGCATTGTCAACTCAAGGATGTGTACAGAGTGCTTTAATCGTGGGGAAAAAACCAGATATTTTACGAGAGTCACTTGCACATTATCATTAGTTCTTGTGATAGTTACAATAAGGTATGAAATATTAGTGTTTCTTCATGAACTATATAAAGCTTAAAGATATCAATTATTAGATTGCAATTTTCTAAAAAAAAATGTCAAAAGTAATTTGACAAACTCCTGAAAGGGAACAAGAAAAAATGGTATCAAACCTAAATTATTTTTCTACAGAAATGAGAAAAAACTGACTTTAATCTGTTAAACCATAAGGAGAAAGAGGATTTCATATCCTCAAATTCCCTCCCAATACTAGCTAATCCTACCCAATTTATCTTTGTTTCTAATACAGCAAGTTTAATTATTACTAACTTTATTAACATTAAAATAATTGATTTCTACTCTGCATTCCACAAGCCAAGTGACTTGTGCATGTTGTAGAGGATGCAAACAGTTTTGATTTTAGAATCTGGAATGTGTTTGTTCCTTCTTCCCATCAAGCTTGGGACAGCTCCTAGTACAACTACTCCTTGTACTCCATAATGCTCAATTTGCATGTCTGGAGACTCTGACCATATAGGACTTTGCTCAAAAATAAAGCAACTCTCTTTTTTCCTAGTTTTAATCAGTTGGATTGCAAAGGAGTTCAAATGATAGCTATTATAAAACTTTAGTTCAGTGAAATTTGGATTATTTTCTCATGGACTACACAGTTTTTTTTAAATGTTAGCTATTAGAATGCAAACCCTCAACAGTGTACCAAAAGAATTATCATTACACATTGCAGTATGCTGCAATAGTGAAGATACTTACCAGCAACTTTTATCAGTAGTACACAAACCTTCGTTTACACCATTTTTACTTAATAGGGTATGTTTCAGACTCAGTAAAAATGGAGCATATCTATTCACCTCTTATAATGAAACAGAACGTTCAGTTAGCAGAATATGCTATCCAGGTTTATCCAGAAATCCACTGTGTTCAATGTAACTTATTTTTAGGTAAGAGTGACAGGACTGCATAGATGATCAAAAGTCCCATTGGACTCATTGTCAGATAAGTACAAACAGGACTGCAACACCAATTTTCTTACTAATCTGAATATCTAAGGAGTGTTACTGTTTTCAATTCCAACATAATACTTCACTTTTCAAAACAAAACCCTGTTTTGTTTGGCAGCACATGGCTGATCTCAAAAATCAAAGCAGGATCTGAATTGGTTAGTACTAAAAAGGGATACCACCAGAACACCAGGGCTGCACCTGCAAGAATGTATCAGGAATACTATATGGACATATCAATGAAGTCACCAGTAATTGAGCATTACTTTGTAGCTGAACAAGTCACAATGGTCTGATTCACACAAAATGGTAAGCTACAATGGCTCAAATCTTTGGGATGACAGAAAGCAAACTAAAAATTATATAAATGAAATAATCAGATAAAAAAGGGGAAGTCCACATTGTATGAATCAGTCAATATCTCTGTATACACAAAATGTTGCATAGGGAGAGGGGAAACACAGCTAAGAAAAAAATGATATATAGGGTATGGGCTTCTGAAGTGAAGGAAAAATTATAACATGGCAAATACCCTGGGATAGGCAAGAGGTATCTAGATGATACACACACATATTAAATGTCATACTCTGGATCTACATGTAGAATTAGCTAATACCCAAACACTCGGTTCTAAAGAGTCAGTGAGGTCCAGCCAACATAATTAAAGTGATGTGGTATAAGTTCAAGCCTTGCTGTAAAGTGGCTTAAAGGATTACTTTCTATATATCTATTGCCAGTCTCTAAGATGTGAAGCAGAATAGTTAAGGGAAAATATTTTATTTGTAGAAAATCTATGCATCACCATTTGGCCCTTAAGGCCATTCACAATAAGCAACCTTGCTTTTAAAAAAAGCAGTTAGCAACCCACCTGAAAACAAGAATTTACCTAAAAGCCAACTAAATAATCAGCTGAGCCTCTATTATGAGAAAACTCCTCTTATGGAGCCTTTGAGGGAGGTGGTCTTATTTTATGGTACTTCAATAACAGCTCCAATTGATCTATAGCTTCAGATGCAAGGAGGTAGTACTTTAAATATTCTGGTTCCTGAAATGTACCTAATTACCATTTTCCAAAAAAGCATATCCTCTTGCATTTCTGTTTGTTATTTCTATCTCTTGGTTGTTTTTCTCTTTATGATACATGGTCTCTCTTTTAGAGACCAAGAGGGAATTCTGGAGACAGATTTAATTCATATTCTGCACTGTCATACTATCACTATTGTAGGTGTGGTTATTTTATTTTATTATTTGTATCTCACCTTTGTTATTTTTACATATAACCCAAGGAAGCAAACATATCCAACACACATTATTCTCCTATTTTCCCCACAACAATTATTTTGTGTATGGGTTGGGCTTAAGAGAGATTATTGGCACAAAGTCACCCAGCTGACTTATAAGGCTAAGGCCAGATTTGAACTCCAGTTTTCTAGGATGATGCCTTAACCGCTAGACCAAACTGGCTCTTTTTATGACTTATCCCAGCATCTTTATTGGCAATGCTGATTGGGCTTGACCTGCTGGGATTAGTAATTTAGAAACATTTAAGATTTATAACTTATCTTCAGCAGCATTTCCACTTTGATCTCTCACTATTAAGCAGACAAAATCCATCTGCAGATACGTCTTCAAATAACTTTAAGTTAGCCAGGGGCTTTTATCCTCTACCTAAATTACTACTCAATTAATAACAATATTTCCATATTTAAATTCTCAACATCAAGGATCCACATGTGCATTTTTTGCTTTGAAAAAAAAAGATTTTGGACAGAGTGGAATTTTGGATTACAGAGAGGTAGCAAAATTTCATAAATGATCATGGGATGTGAAAAGTCACACCAATGCAATCCTAAACATGCTTACTCAGAAGCTAATTCCATTCCATTCACACAAATAGGACTTCACTCTTGTTAAGTGGCAGAAAGTCAGCTTTAAGAGACTCTGGGCATCCAAAGTCCAGATGCTTTTATGAAAACAAAGCCAAGTAGTCTGGAAAAAAAAACAACTAGAATAATTAGAACCATTTTTCATTCTTCAGACTTTTCAGCATGAGAAAGACTTAACGCTGATGGTATTAAGACGTTTCTCTATTTCAGTGTTTCTCAACCTTGACAATTTTAAGGCATGTGGACTTCAACTCCCAGAATTCCACAGCCAGCATTGCTGGCTGTGGAATTCTGGGAGTTGAAGTCCACATGCCTTAAAATTGTCAAGGTTGAGAAACACTGCTTCTATTTCAAAGCCAAACCTGAGAGAGAATTCCTACCGGGGGAATCTTTCCTCGAGCAACCCGGGGCAGGTGCAGCCTTCCCAACAAGCACCACTTAAGGGGGTGGTTCAGAGGCAGGTAGAGACTAGCCAACTTCATATCCCCGCCCAGGAAGACTCCTGCCAACAGAGTCAGCAAAAGATGGGCCTCCTTGCTTGGAGGCGCCCAGAAAAAAATCACCCCGCACCAGGAAGAGCAAAGAACGGCGAGCGCAGAGAAAAGGGCGCCACCGCCACATTCCCAAACGGCAACCCCGCTTTACAACCTGAGCCCGGCCTGCGTGGCCAGAGCGCGGGATGCAGCAGCGTGGCCGCCGCCGCCGCCGCCCCCCCTTCGAGAAGCGCCCGGCAACGGCGTTCGCTCACCTGCTGCCGCTCATGGTCCAGCGCGCCAGGGGTTCTGCCGCTGCCCGGGCCTCCAGTGCCAGCCGTGGAATTTGGCAGCAGCGTCGGCGGCGTCGGCGGCGTCCTAACACCGCGGCCCACTCGCCGTACCCAGCAGCGCCATTCAAACTGCGGCGCGTTGCATGCTGGGAACTGGGGAGTCCGGACAGGCGGGACTGTCAACGAGACACCGCCGTTTCTCTCCCCACCTCTTTCTCCGACGTGCTCTAGTACCGCCGTCAGGTCTCGGGGCTGTTTCTGGCTTCTGTGGCTTTCAGCAGTGCTTGGCGGTAATGTGTAGCAGAGCCTAGACTCCCCCCTCCCCACCTTTACTCTGCGCCTGGTCTCTCTCCTCCGCCCAGGTGCTTAGAAAGCCACAGAGAAGGCGCTCGCCTCTTTGATTTTCGTGCTGTAGCTCTCTAGTCCGCAGGTAGATCGCTCTATCGGATTGCCCGAACTGGAAGTGAATGGCTTGGCTGGCAAAACAAAAGAAAAAGAAAAAAAAAAAGGAGGCTCCTCGGCTACTTTGGTAATCCTGCGGTCAGACGGGCTCGAAAGCCTCCGTAAGTCGCTGCCAATGGGTGTTGCTTCTCTTCAGCGTTCCCTTCCGACCTTGCCGGTTCCCAGTGTTCTCACTGGGCTAGTTTGCATTTATTTATTTTTTTTGGTCTTTAATAGCATCACGTTGCAGGACTTGCTCAGCGTAGTAGTGGATGAGTAATCCCCATACACTTGAGGCGAAGCCTGGCAAATTCTTCCCTTCCCCCACATTCGTCCAGACAGCCAATGCAGAACCCCAAATTTAGGGTGGCAGGAGAGCTCATACTGACTCCAAAATTCAACGGGGTGAGGGTGGAGAGAGAGAGAGAGAGGAGACACCTGCTGAGACTGGCCTAACAGGTTCTCCTAAGTACCTCCCTTTGTCCTGACAAAGGAGGGGGGGGGAGAGCTGGGAGATGTGAGAGGAAGCACCTGGGAAAGGAAAAGAGGAACAACATCTGGAGCAAAGGGAAAGAGGTACCTGAAAGATGTGAGCAAAATGGTGACTGGAAACTGCCATTTAGTTTTGGTTTCCAAGAAGAGAAGTGAGCTGAGGAAACCCAAGAGAAAGGAACTGATAGCAACCATGCTGAACTTGTAAGGGAAGAGAGAAATTACAACTCAGAACCAAGAAAATCTCCAGAATAAGAGATGGAGAGAGTCAATTGCTTGAGGCTAGTGATAAGAATAGGGATTTCTGGCTGAAGATGAGAGAAAGCATCAAATTATGACCCAGTAACTTCTAGGAAGTCAATGGAGCTAAGAGGAAATGTTCCTAATACTTTGACTGAAGGTTGCAATCTATGGGAATCAGGAATTAGGGTTTCCGGGCAGGAAACTCTTCTTCGGAAGGTATGTAAAAATTTCCACCAAGATCTTAACTGAGGTTATTTAGAACGCAATATTATGCTACAGAGTGCTATTTCTTTCATCCTTCCAAGAATTTACATAACAGAGCAACTGTCCCTCTCCCAGTGGATTTGAATGGCAAAGGATATACAGACTACAGTGCTGTAGGTTGAATGTAACAAAGTGGCTGAAAGGCCTTCATTGATGTAGAACTGATGAAACAGTGAAAAAAAAATGCAGTGAAGAGCAAGGCAGGAGCCATGTTTTGTGAAGAATAAGCACTCTGCCTGGGATATGGCCAGAACAATATTCTGAGCTTTATGGTGCATTGCAACCTGTTTCTTCTTAGCATCTCAATGGAGAACAGTCAGTTTGCACCAGGAATATTCAAAAGCTGGAGCAAACTTGGCTTTCCAAAGTTGCAATTAGTTTTGTTACCAGAGCCTTCAGCCTTTGCATTTTCAGCTGTTGGAGTAATGTTAGCATAGTGCTGGTTATTGATGTTTCTTCCTCCAGTTTTAAAACCACACTTACCTCATTCTAATCCAGCTACCTTCAAGATATATTCTGTATATAGTTTGAATAAATAAAAGGAGAGCATACAACCTCCCCATTCCTTTGCCAAACTGGAGCCAGTCTGTTTCTCCATGTTATATTTGTACTGTGACTTCCTGATCTGTATTGGTTTTGCATAAGGATAATAAACTATTTTGGTATTCCCATTTTTAAAGAACATTTCACATCTTGACTGATACAATTGGATGCCTTTCTATGAAGCAAATATTGACTGTTTCTATAGTCTTTGGCTTTTTTATTGCTAGCAGTCCTCAAATATAAACATAAATTGTGCCACCATTAAAATGAAATATTCAGCTCAGTTCTATAAAATGCAATAGAATGTATCAAAGGAAAGCCACATATCTGATTTACATGAGAAAATATATTTGTATACTACTTACATTTATTTGTGTTGATTACAGGTGAGCCTCGACTTATGACTACAGTTGGGACTGGAATTTAAGTTTTAAGTCAGGTTGTAAAGCGAGTCATCAGATGATTGAACTGATTTTATGACCATTTTTATCGTTAAACAAATCCAGCTTTCCCAATTGATGTTTTCTGTTGAAACTGGAAAGGTCTTGAATAGTGATCATATGATTGCAGGACACTGCAATTGGATATAAAAGTGAGATGGTTGCCAGTTGTAATCATGTGACCATGGGATGGTGTGATGGGATGGTATGATGGTTGTACATGCAAGTTGTAAACAACTTTTCCCAGGGCTATTTTACTTTGAATTATTGTTAAATGAATGGTTGTCAGTCAAGGACTAGCTGTAATTACTCTAAAGAATTGGAAAAAATTGAAAACAGCTTAATGCTCAAAATTTGATCTTAAAATTAAAAATTAAATTGAAAGTGTGGATGCTTTTATTTAGCAGACAAATCTATATGACCTCACATTTTGTTCTCAGAGTAGCAAAGTAGAACTGGTCTGTTTAGTCAGAACTGTTATTATTATTATTATTAATTATTATTATTAATTTAATTTATATACCGCCCTTCTCCCGCAGGACTCAGGGCGGTGCACAGCGTATTAAAAACAGTACAAATACAAAGCATAAAAAATACAAACCCCTGTAAAACCAGATTAAAAAACCGAATATTAGAAGCTGTGTCTCTATTTAAAATTATTTTTAAAATCACCCTAAAT